TGGCCACATTTGCTGCTGCTGCTGCTGTTGCTGCTGCACTTGCTGCTGCTGCTGCAGCAGCAGAGACAGGTATGTTGTCACATGCGTTCTCCTTTGGAGTAGTAACAGCAGATGATGCAGCAACAGCAGCAGGTGCTGCTGCAGCAACTGGAGCAGCAGCTACTGCAGCAACAGGAACAGGCGCTGCTGCTGCTGCAGCAACTGGAGCAGCAGCTACTGCAGCAACAGGAACAGGCGCTGCTGCTGCTGCAGCAACAAGTGCAGTAGGTGGAGCAACAGGTGCTACAGCAGCAGCAGGAGGTGCTGCAGCAGCAGCAACAGGCGAAGATGTAGCTGCAGCTGCTGCAGCAACAGCAACAGGTACTGGAGGTGCTGCAGCAGTCGGGGCAGATCCTGCTGCTGCTGCTGCTATTGCTGCTGCTGGTGCAGCAGCAGCAACAGCAGGTACTGCAGCCTGCTCCTCTCCAACTCCTTCCGCTGCAGCTTTTGCTGCTGAACCTTCTGGCTTTGCTGCAGCAGTATGTGCTGCAGCAGCAACTGCAGCAGCAGCAAGTGCAGCAACGACAAGTGCAGCAGCAGCAGGTGAAGTAGCAGCAGGTGAAGCAGCAGCAGGCGCTGCAGCAGAAAGCACTGCAGCAGAAGGTGCTGCAGCAGCTGGAGCTGCAGCTGCTTGCTGTGTCTGCACATCTGCTGCTGCGTCTCTAGCTAATGCTGCTGCTGCTGCTGTTGGTGTTGCTGCTGCTGTTGCAGCTGCTCCTTGCTGCTCAGTGCCCGATAAAGCTGCTGCAGGTGCAGCAGCAGCAGGTGCAGCAATAGCAGCAGGTGCAGCAGCAATATCAGGGACACATGCAGACGCATGCAAGGTATCTGCAGCTGCTGCTGGTGTTGCTGCTGCAGTCGCTGCTGCTGCTGGTGTTGCTGCTGGCGTGGCTGCAGCTGCTGCAGTTGCTGCTGCAGTTTGCGTTGCTGCTAAGCAGCGTGGAGGCGCAGCTGCTTCTGCTGCTGCAACGGGAGAGCATTGCTGCTGCACTGCAGCAGCTGCTGCTTCTTCAGCAGCAGGAGCAGGAGCAGCAGGAGCAGCAGCAACAGCAGCAGCAACGGGTGCAGCAGCTGTTGGTGGATTTGTGGCAGCAGCAACTGCAATAGCTTCCTCTAATACAGCAGCAGGATATGTTACATGCTGCTGCTCTTCTTGCTGCTGCTGCTGCACCTGCTGTTGCTGCACCTGCTGCTGCGGCGGCAGCTGCTGCTGGGTGAGCTGCACTTGTTGCTGTTGCTGATCTTGCTGCGGCAGTTGCTGTTGTTGCTGCAGTTTCTGCTGTTGCTGTTGCTGCTGCAGCTGCAGGAGGCGGTGCTGCTGCTGCAGTTGTTCGATCTGCTGCAGTAGCAGCATTTGCTGCTGCTGCAGTTGCTGCTCCCTAGCAGATGGTGCATCGGGCGTAGTACAAGCTGTTGCTGTTGCTGTTTCTGCTGCTGCTGTTGGTGCTGCTGCTGCTGCTGCTGCTGCTTCCGTTTCTGCAGCAGCAGAGGGTGCTGCTGCTGTTGCTGCTGTTCTGGCTGCTGCTTGTATTACCTGCGAAGCAGCAGGTTTTGCTGCTGCAGTGCTTCCTGCTGCAGGTGTTGCTGCTGCTGCTGCTAAACCTGCTGCTGTAGTTGCTGTTGTTGCTGACGGTGTTGCCTGTCGTCCTCCAGGCATCTGTGGCGCAGCAGCAGATGCTGCTGCTGCTGCTGCTGCTGCTGCCGCTGTGGGCTCTCCCATCACGACTGCTGCAGCAGCAAGCTCTGCTTGTGCAACACTTGCTGCACCTGCTGAATCAGTTTCTGCTGCTGCAGCTGCCTGAGGTTCTGCTGCTGCTGCTGCTGCTGCAGGCGCCTCCATTATGGGTGCTTCTGCTGCTGCTGCTCCTGCTGAAGTTGCAGCTGCTGCTTGTGTTGCTACAGTTGTTGCTGCTGCTGCTTCTGTTGCTGCTGCTGCCTCTGCTGCAGTCTCTATGGCAGGTGGTGAATCTGCTGCAGGTTCTGGTGTTGCTGCAACAGCAGCAGGAGGGCAACTTGTTGTTGCTGCTGCTGCTGTTTCTGTTGCTGCTGCTGTTGCTGCTGCTTCTGCCATTTCCTTGCTGCCGTCACATGCATCTTTACGCAACCCTTCGTGTTCTGTAGACAGCAGCAGCAGCGGCTGCGGCTGCTGCTGCTGCTGTTGCTGTTGCTGCTGCTGTCGTCTTTGCTGCACTGGAGACAGCAGCAGATGAGTCCGGGTATGTTGTGCTGCTTCTGCTGCTGTTGCTGCTGCTAGAAGCGCTGCTACGTCGTCAGCGGTGTCGTCCCCTGCTGCAGCAGGATGAGCAGCAGCAGCAGCAGCAGCAGCAGCAGCTCCTGCTGCCTCTACTGCTGCTGTCAATGCTTCTGCTGCTGCATCATTAATATTTCCATGCTGTTCCATAGTCGTTGCTGCTGCTGTTGCTGCTGTTGCTGCTGTTGCTGCTGCTGCTGCTTCACCGCT